TCTCCCAAGTATCTGGGATTATAAACACACCACTGTGCCCAGTTTCAATGTTCATTTTGTGAGGTGTGATTATAATAATATTGTGGTTATGTTCATATTTTTAAAGAGATTCATGCTGAAGTATGCAGGACTGAAATACCATGATATCCGGGATTTACTTTAAAATAATTTAACATAAAGGGCTGGGGTTTTAGCTCAGCTGTAGTGCACTTGCCTGGCATGTGTGAGGCACTAGGTTCGATCCTCAGCACCATGTGTCGATAAATAAAATAAAGATCTATCAACAACTAAAAAAAAATTAAAGTAATTTAACATAAAATAATAAAGGGAAAGCAATGCAGATAAAATATGTATGGACCCTGACAATTGCTGAATCTGGTTAAGAAGTATAAATGTAAGGGATTAGGGTTGTGGCTCAGGTGGTAGAATGCTCGCTTAGCATCTGTGAGGCACTGGGTTCGATCCCCAGCACCACATAAAAATAAAGATATTGTATTAAAAAAAAAAGAAGTATAAATGTAGACTCACTAGATGTAGCACTGGAAGCAAACCAAAGCCAAAACTAACTTGAATTAGTTGGTGACATTTAAATCAAAAGTTTCATATCAAAATCTAGGTTTCTGCATTTTTTTGAAAAATGATGTGACAAAAGCACCCATGTGCTTGTTATTCTCCATTTTTCACCCTGCTATTGGATTTCCTTCCTTCCTTCCACCCAATTCCTTCCTTTATATTATCTACTTGACATTTAGGTTTTGGACCCCAGTAGTCCAGTTAAACTGGTTAGTAGCCACAGACCACAACAGACACATTAGAGAGGTGGTGAAATGCTAGTGTGCAGCTGCTGAGGTAGGTCCCTTCTGCAGCCTTAGATCCAGACATAATTCCCACAAGGCTGTACTATGGTCGTTTTTATTGAATGCTTACTAAAAGCAAGGCAATGTATTTAGCACTCTGGAAAACATGAACATGAAAGTAATCCCTGCCACAGAATACTAACAGTTAAATAAGGAAAACAAGGCATAGACATGAGTAGTTACAATAAAGATAGCAAAACAATGAGTTTAGGGTACTGTTCAGGGTAGCTTCATGGGAAGTGGCAATATAAAAAGCTTTAGAAACAGAAAATGAAAAGCACCACAAAGCATACTGGAAGATTCAAATTATTCCATGAGCAATAGCAAGCCATTGAAGAGGTGTAAAAACATAAAAATTAAAAAAAAAAAAATTGAAGGTTACACCAGAGATGGCAGCAAGGTCTCTTTCACTGCTCAAATTATTTGATGAACTGTATCCTCTGAAGAGCCAGAAACACCACCTCCAAAACCCTTTTTGCCTCTAAAATTTCTCCATCACTACTTTCTTGGGTAGACAGAAGTTTACTTCCCAAAGAGAATAATAATAAAGGATGGGTCACAAAACAGTAGTTCTGAAAACAGTTTATATCTTCCAAATACTATACAAATTACATTATCCTGTATCTTCCAATATGGTGTTATAGCTTAAGGTCTGTTAAAAAATAAAAATCTTTTTTTTTCTTTTTTGTCCAAGAAAAGCCCCATTCTGTCAAAAAGAAACCGCCACTGTTTTTATTGTGAATGAGCAAAATTACCTAAAACACAATCAAATCCTGACTGATTTGAACTACATTAAATTTGAACTACATTTTAATGGAACTACATTAAAGATTCAAAATTCAGTCGAGGCCACTCTTACTGCAAAATGAGATGGAAAGTAGCTGTCATGACCCAGGAGCACAGCTGGGATTTAGCAGAGTCTGGGCATCCAGCATTATCAAAGGAAAAACACCATTTTGTGATCAATAATGCTCTTTAATAAATTCCAGGATTTATAGATTAAAAGCAAGGGGAGGAGATGGCAGCACATTCCCAACATACTCGGCTACCAACCTAAGAAGCAATACCATCTGTAACACCGGTTTATTCTACTTGAGCCTCAGTTTCCTCCTTTGTAAAACAGGGCTAACAGAATCCACCTGCTTCGCAAGGTGATGTGCACACTAACTTATGGTAACGTACGCAGAGCAGCACAGGCAGTGACACAGCAGATGCTCAATAAATAACAAGTTTTATTAATCACGGTAAGCTTTATTGTCTCCAGTATTTTCCCGTAGGTACGATGCCAATCCCCACAGACCCCCGACATCATACTTCTTTGCAGAACCGAACTACGGCTCAAGGTACCTGAGAGCCAAAGGTACAGGGTCCTGAAAACGACCCAAAGTCGAGGTCGCCCAAGCTCGAGAGCCACCACGTCCGCCAAGGCCTCGTCGGCCTCCCCAGGGTTCCCGACTCGGCCGCCGGCCCCGCCCCGCGAACGCCAACTAGCGGGGTGAGGGGGCGGTCCCCACCGCGCGACCTTCGCGCTCGGGGGAAGGCCAGGTCAGCTCCGGCCTCCGCTGGCCGGACTACAGGGACTAAGCCTCCCCTCGCCCAAASCTCCGGTTCCCTCCCAGCCCCGCACCGCCCAGTGGCGCACCTTGAGGTGGGTGCGCAGGCCGCCAGCGCCCCCAGACTGGTCGGCGATCTCGTAGGCGCCCGTCACTAGCAGGTCCTTGTGGATCTCCTCGCGGAGACACTTGCGGGAGTTAACGGGCAGATGGAAAGAGATGGCAAGGACCGAGCTGGGTCCGAGCAGGAACGCCAACAGCAACGCCAACAGGCGGGGGCCACGCTGGGCTACAGGGCCAGACAAACCAGACATGGTGCCGGAGACTCGTTCGCCACCCGGGGCCTCTAGCACGCCGGAACCGGGAGGGGCCACGTGACTCACCTCTGACCTACAGATGCCATCGGCGCCATTTTTGAGACTGGCTAATAATCGAAAAATATATAGTAAATATTTTGAAAGGGGAGGAACACTGTGATACTACGTCATAATCAGGAGCTTAAATGGTTAAATAAGATTTCCTAGAAGCCCACTGCAAAGGTTTTATTTTTGTTGAGATTAGTGACAACTAAGTCGGCCATGGCAACTATGGGCAGACCTGGAAGTAATTCTCTTTTAACCTCCGGAAGAAGCTGTTTTAAGGTCGGCGACACCATAGCAACCAAGCTCCAATAGGGAACAGCCACAAGGCCCTTCCTTGAGCCCGCCCACTCGCCCCCTGGGCGCGCCAGGAGGAGGCGGAGGATGAAGCTGTCACCACCCCCCAGCTCCTTGATGCTCTGGTGACAGCTGGGACCTTGAAGCACTTGAGAGGAAAGATTTTTTCAAAAGGTTTTCATTTGGCTAGGAACGAATGTAGGATAGAATCTAAGAAGGTGTAGAGATCACCAGATAAGTGTGAGCTGGCAGGCGTCCAGTTCATGCCCCTGAGCGGGGTGTTTGAGCTGGAGTAACAGCTTGGCTTTCTGAGTATGTATATTACTTTTTAGCAAACACTGAGCGTTTACTATGCTAAGGTACATTCAAACCAAAATTTAATTTAGTATTTAAACAATAAAACACCATGTGTGAACCATTCTGAGAAATGGGCATAAAATTTACCAGATTTGTCAGGGGAGGAGAGTATTTGTGTATTTCAGATTCACCCTTTGTACGTCAAATAGGTTTTTATAGTGAGCAAATTCACATGGTAATCATGCACTCTTTTTAACAAATAATTATTGAGTATCTACTGTGTGCCACACACTACTCTGCATGTATGCTAACATGTTTATTGATTTAACAGACCATTATTGAAATGCTATCAAATATTAAGAGTTGAAGAATAAAATGATGATTAACTAGTAGAACAAACCCAACCTAGTTGCATGGACAGGTCGTGCCACTTTGGTGGCTGAGACAGGAGGATCTCTTAAACCTAGGAGTTCAAGGCTAGCCTGGGCAACAGAGAAAGACCTCCACCTCTTTAAAAAAGTAAAAAGAAAAAGGAATACACAATAACCTCTGATTGTAGTCATTATCTACTTTGATTGATATGTATTGCGTACCAGCAGAAATACCCAAAAGGTGAACTATATGCCCTTGGTAATTTAAATGATTCTTTGGTTTTGTTTTGTTTTTTTATAAGTCCTTTTCCTGGAACTGAAGTCCCGCAAACAAAACAAGAACATAAAGGAGCTGTTAAACATTTAAAAATTTGACAAATGCCATATAATAATTATTTTATGGGGTGTCCACTTAGGAACATTTAGTTTTGATTGTTTTATCCCTGATCTAAGATAAGAGTACTAGTCTACTGAGTACATCCTGATAATTTGCATTGGCCTTTTCCCTGTCAGTGCAGGGATTCTGTACAGTTATTTAAATTATTGTTTACTTGAAGTTCTAGGGCTCTGCTGACCATTAGCAAGTTTGCAACCCATAAAATACCTGTGTGTGTTTTGTGTTTTCATCTTATGTTTACATAATAGATTATGCATTTTGAAATATTTTCACATATCTTAATGATCTAATTTGAAATTTTCAAAACYAACTGTGAAATAATCTGGACAAGTTTTCTCATTTTACAGATGAAGAAACTGAAGTTCCAAGACTTTAACTTATACAGTTAAAGAAAAAAATATTTGTGAAACTTAATAGAATAGAAGAGCAGGGTTTCTTTTTTTCAAGAGGACCGTGGAGACTGATACACATGCACTAATATAGTGGGGTTTTGTAGTGGAGGAGAGACATCAGCCTCAACTTTGAAAACAAGGAAAAATAGGAATTTATAGCCAAGGATCAGAATGGGACTCAGTGGATGGAAAATTACTAAGAGGCAAATCATGGGTGAGAGGAGATTCTGGCTAAACTGACTTAGCAAGATTTTTTTTTCAGGGGGGGGGCACCTGGGATTGAGCCCAGGGGTGCTTAACCACTGAACCACATCTCCAGCCCCCCTCCTTTTTTATATCTTTGTTTATTAAATTTTTTATGTGGTGCTGAGGATCAAATCTAGTGCCTCACATGTGCGAGGCAAGCACTCTGCCACTGAGCTACAACCCCCCCACACACTTTTTTTTTTTTTTTTGAGACAGGCTCTTGCTAAGTTGTTGAGGGCCCCACTAAATTGCTGAGGCTGGCTTTGAACTTGCAATCCTCCTGCCTTAACCTGCTGAGCTGCTGGGAATATTGGTGTGTGTCACCATACCTGGCCCCTTAGCAGGATTCTTGCTAAAATTGGACAAGGCACAAACATGAAAATYCAAATCAGGGTCTACTTCAGAAGAAAGTTAAGAACAGCTCAAATAATATTTGTCAGTACCCAAAATCCTTTAACTGAGTCATGACAAATGCCTGTGTCTTCCTCAAGAAGGCATTATTTCCCTCGCCACCATCCTGGTACTGGGATTRAACCCAGGGGTGCTCTWTTACAGCTACATCCCAGCCCTTTTTATTTTATATTTAGAGGGTAGCTGGGATTACAGGCATGCAGCACTGTGCCCTACTTTTATTCCTTATTTTACAGATGAAAAAACTAAGACTTGGAGAAATTGAGTTATTTTCCTATGTCCCAGCTCTCAAGCCTACCCCTCCCCCATTTCTGGAGTCTGAATCCAGGGTCTCACACATGCCAGTCCAGCGCTCTACCACTGAGCTACATCAAGTCCTTTCTTCTCCTCTCTTCTACCTTATCCCTGACCCTCACCCCTCCTGTCTCTGCCTTCTATCCTTTGTCTGTCTCTTGGCTCTCACCCCTATCTAGTGTAACATACCTTTTATTTATTGATGGTGTTTACTGTTCTGTCTCCCTCATTTGAATATCTGTTTGCCAGGGCAAGGGTTTTTGTCTATTTTGTTCACTGTTTATCTTCTTAACCTAAAAGAGAGCCTGGCACTTAGGCTCAATAAATAATGTCTCCATGAAAGCAAAACTGGTTCCTGGGCTCCTAGCTGAAGGCCTAACAGCAGATTCCTTCTTATTATTCATTTGCTATTTCCACACAAATTTATTTAATCCATAATCTATCATAAGCATAGGTATGATTTCTGTTTTACCAACTTTATGCATATCTTTTTTTTTCCTTGAGAAGTATGTTCTTGTTGCCATATAAAGACCCAGGAAAAACCACAACAAAATCTCCTTTATGCTGTAGAGTTAGAGGGTGGATAAAGACCTCTAGGGAACCCAAATTTTTAAACTCTGTACTTGCTTTAAGGAAGATACCTATTATGGTCTGGATGTGAAACAAAAGTTTATATGTGAGATAATGAAAGAAGGTTCAAAGGAGAAATGATTGGGTTGTGAGAGTCTCAACCCAATTAGTGATTTAATTCCCTGATAGGGATTAACTGAGTGGTAACTTGAAGTGGTAGGGTGTAGCTGGAGGAGGTGGGAGTGGGGGTGTGGCTTTGGGTATATATTTGTATCTGACTAGTGGAGTCTCTGCATCCTGATTCCAGCTTCACAGAATTGTGAKCTGCTTCTCTCTGCCACATTCTCCCACCATGATGTTCAGCCTCACCACGAGCCCTGAGAAATGGAACTAGCCTTCTATGGACCAAGTCCTCTGGAACCATGAGCTCTTAAATAACAGCAGCGAAAAAGCTGACTAAAACAATACCATTTACACCTGTATGAATGGAAGGCCTCATCTGGAATTGGAGATCAAATGGAAAGCATCCCACACCCAAAGCAAATGGTTCTTCCTGGCCAGCAGTCCTCTGTCACCGCATCATCCTGAAACTTCCCCAGCCAGACCCACCTAAGATTCCCAAAAACGTCATGAGGACCCACCCCAGTCTATCCCTAAGCCACAGGTTTCTCAACTTTTCCTTTGTATTAAAGGGAACGTGTTTAAAACATACCTCACCCAGACAGTGAGTGAATCAGAAGCTCTTATTAAAAATTGGCACTTATCACAAGCTTGCTGGGCAAATCTGTGGCTGGGAGTCCTTGGAAGTGCTTCSGTCCTCTGCTGCTGCCTCCTGGAACCAGTTGAATCCTCCAGTGTGGCTTGAGGCTACCCAGCACCGTGCACAAGCCATCAAGGATTGCTAACCCCAGGGTCCCTGCCCATTCGTGTTTACAGTCCTACTCACAGCRTGTGTTTACGTAGCTAAGACAAGATGGGTTCTGTGAAGATACAAAAGACCCCTTTGGAAGGCAATTTGGCAATATTTGTCATGTGTCATGCTCTTTGACCCAGAGAGTAATTCCAAGGATCTCTTTAATGGGTCCTCTAATTGTTGGATTCCCCTGGGACCTGGTCCTTGAACATTTGTGCAGCACTCTGAGTGACATCCAATGCCCTTACTTTAAATGCATCGTTAGGCTCAAAATGTGGGTCTCCAGCCTGACCTCTCCCCTGGGCTCCAGCGTCTACACTGAGCTCCCAACTGGACAACTCCACTTAGAGGACTAAAAGGCAACTCATACTTAAACTCTTGATTCCCTCCCACCCCTCTTAAATCGGCTTCCTCCTCATCTCTGTAAGTAGCACCACCTTCTACCCAATCACTGAGACCCTTCATGCTTCCTCTTTCTTTCACCACCCCTCAACCAGTTTATCAGCAAGTCCTATCAGTTCTGTGTCCTAAATAGATGCTAATCAGTTTCTCCTTTCTAAACTAAGGGCACACAAACTACTGTCAMGCTAAGCAAGCCAAATCAAGCAAGCAGCAACCTCCTGCTTTGTATTGCCCAAGAGCTAAGAATGTGTTTTATGTTTTTAGAGGGTTTTTTTTTTTTAATTTTTAAAAAATGAGGAAGAGCAGGAGCAAGAGAACACGTGACAGAGACCTTACATGGACTAAAAAGCCTGAAATATTTACTCTCTTACCTTTCACAGAAGTTTGCTTCTCTGGCCTAGAGGAACAATAGCCTTGTTATGATTA